ATCATACTATCATAAGTATCATTGTCTCATTGAATTATTGGTATGTACTATAATCGATAAACATATTTAGTTATTTACATATCTGATCATTAAAACTTAAAAGTTTAAAACACTTGTTGATCAATCTAATTGAATACTTGTACATTCTTAATTATCGATTTATCGTATTATAAGTATCAACTCATTAAATCATGGTCATGATTTCGTGATTTCGTCCATTTAACTTTTTAAGTTGTTTGAGTTAGTAATCTAAATAAAGTAACAAACTAAATAACGAATCCATTTAATCTCGTGTAAGTTATAATTTATAAGAAATGCAATGTTTGGAAATGGAAATTGATTCAATACGATATTGTTAATGTATATGTAATTATAGATTAATTATTATGTATATCATATCGTACGAATGTATGGTTGGTATCATTATCATACTATCATAAGTATCATTGCCTCATTGAATTATTGGTATGTACTACAAATCTACAATCGATAAACATATTTACATATCTGATTATTAAAACTTAAAAGTTTAAAACACTTGTTGATCAATCTAATTGAATATTTGTACATTCTAATTATCGATTTATCGTATTATAAGTATCAACTCATTAAATCATGGTCATGACGCGATCTTTAAAACAATCATGAATTCAATTCATGACCCAAACCGCTTATAAACCGAACCGACATGATCCAAACCGTTCATAAACCGAACCAATTGAACTGTGTAAACCCTCTACTAAACCGGCCCATTTAAAACTGAGCCGACATGATTCGCACCGTTTATAAACCGAACCGATATTGATCCGGGTAAATCCGCCCCTAAACCGACCCATTTCAAACCAAACCGGCTTGATCCAAACCGTTTGTAAACCGAACTGACATTGACCCGGGTAAACCCGCCCCTTAAACCGACCCGTATCAAACCGAACCGACATAATCCGAATCGTTTATAAACCGACCCGCTTATGACCCAAACCGAATTTAAACCGCAAAGAAATAAACCGAAACCAAACCGAGCCGTGACTAACCCAAACCGAACCAAACCGACCCGCCAGCTAAACTAAACCGTTTCAATCCGAACCGCTCCAAACCGAAACCGACTCAAACCGAGGTCAAACCGAACTGCCAGACCGAAGTCCCACCCCTATAAGCAAGGCATGGCCACTTGTCGAATCGACTAGCTGATCGATCCTCGGCAAGGGATAGAAATCCTTCGGACAAGCCTTATTTAGGTCCGTGAAGTCAACGCACATCCTCCAGGTACCATTGGGCTTCTGAACCATCACCACATTTGCCAGCCATTCTGGATATTGGCAAGGTTCGATGAACCCTGCCTCCAGCAATTTTTTGACCTCGGCTGCGATGTCTCGGTTCTTATTAGCGGAATAATTCCGCTTCTTTTGCTTAACTGGTCGACACGTTGGGTCAACATTAAGCTTGTGGGAGATGAGGTCTGAACTTATCCCGGGCATATCAGCTGCCGAGAAAGCAAACACATCTCTGTTGTCCCGAAGGAGCTGAATAAGTTCACAACGGGTGTTTGGATCGAGGTCCATCCCGATTGTTACACATTTCTCAATGTCTCCTTCGGCCAACTCAACTGTTTCAGTCTGCTGGTCCATGTCCATTGCTGATGGACTGGACTCTTCATAATCTGGCCTGCTGCCAATGTCAGCAGGTGTCCCAGTCTTTTTGTTCATCGGCTGGCTCTCTGAGTCTTGCGGCTCAGCTGAAGAGCTAGCCTTTTCCCTTTCGGGCCCTTTTTCTCTGGGCACAGATCCTTGGGCCGAAGCACTTAGGCCTTTCGGCTTTTTTGTGCTTGGCTCTCTTTCTTTTTCTTTCTCCTCCTCATCCTTGTCGTCATCTGGGCGACTACTGGATGGCTTGAGGTAGTTGCACCTTCGGGCGTCCTTTTGGTTGCCCTGTATCCTTTCGGGGAAGCCGGCGTCTGAGACGTAAATCATCAGCTGATGATAAGTTGAGACGACCCCTTGGATCTCATGAATTATGGGTCTCCCCAAAATCACGTTGTACACTGAAGGAGCGTCAATGACCAAAAATTCAATCATGACGTTCCTGGCTGCCTCGTCGCAGCCAATGGTGACAGGAAGTGTCACCTTCCCATCTGGATAAGTTGATGCCCCATTGAACCCGGATACCGGGTAGGGTACCGGCGTAAGGTGCTTGGGCTTCAACTTGATTTGATTGTAGGCCTTTCGGAACAGAATGTTTGCTCCGCTGCCACCGTCAACAAGGACCTTACTGACGTCGTGGTTGGCCACCGTGGCGATGATCACCAACGGATCCTCGTGAGGGAACGCTATCCCCCGGCAGTCGGCGGCTGTGAATGTCATGTTCGGCACCGGCGACTGGGGAGATTGAATATCAGCGTTGTTCACCTGGTGAGTCAAAGCTCTAAGGTGTCGCTTGTGTTCCCTCCGAGAATATATTCCTCCCGAGATAACATTGATCGGAGGGAATTTCCCTTCCGGCTTTTTACTGTTCTTCCGGGGGAAGTCGAGGTCTTGCCGAGAGTCCTTTGCTGACTTTTCGGATTCTTTTTTCTCGCGGTGATCCGCGATATATTTTTTCAAGTATCCCTTCCGGACCATGTCCTCTATCTGGTCCTTCAGTTGGATACACTCCTCAGTGTTGTGTCCCGAAGACTCGTGGAACTCGCACCACTGATTTTTATTTTTTCGCTGATACCACTCTGGAAGTGGTCTCGGCTTTTGGTAACTCTGCTCTCCCTTCGTCACGCTGTAAATTTTGGCGCGTGGAAGAGAGAGCGGAGTGTAGGACTCGTATCTGCCTGTGTATGAGGCAGATCTTTCCTTCCTTGGGTCGCTGGCCGAAGATTGCTCCGAGGCCTTTGACTTTCCCTTTGCCTTATGGCCTTGGCCTTCAGACAAGGGTATTTGTCTCTGTTTCCCTCCCCCGAATTGAGGTTGGGTTCTCGCTTTGTTCCATTCTTCGGCTCGGATGAACTTATCCGAAGCATGAAGAGCTTCCTCCAAGGTCTGCGGGGTATGCATGACCATGAAGTCTAGGAACTTTCCGGGCTGAAGGCCATTCTGCATTGCGAAAACGGCTAGACCCTGGTCCAGCTGAGAGACGCTGGATGACTCGTTACTAAAACGGGTCAGATAGTCTCGGAGGCTTTCAGTTTCCCCCTGCTGCAGACTCATGAGTTCTGCAGTAGTCTTCTCTCGGCGATTAGCCGTGGAAAACTTGCTCCTGAATTTGGAGGACAGATCATCCCACCCTGTTATGGAGCCCTGCTTTACTCCCTTGGAGATCCACGCTTGCGCGACCCCCTTGAGAGTGGTTGGGAAATATTTGCACCAAGTCGCTTCGGACCTGGGGCAAAGATGCATATGAGTCTCATACGAGGCCACGTGATCCTTCGGATCCGAGGTCCCGTCATATGTGATGTGCGACGGTATTTTAACCGTGGGCACGCGCTCTTCCAGTATCCATTGCTCGAATGGTGAACTGGCGGGAAGCATAACGGCCTTGCCCTTGTTCCTGGCCGAAGGGACCGCGCTCCGCCCTCTTAGAGAGGTAGAAGTGGTTTTCGTCCCTGGCTGGGAAGTCTGGGCCTCGGCTGCAGGGAACGAGAGGCGACTGCGCACGCTCGGTTCCTTGCCGCCGAGTCGGTCGAGGACGCTTCGGCGAGCAGTCTCAGGTTCTCGGTGAGTAGATTCTGGCCGAGAAGCTGAGCTGCTGCTCTTATGCGTTTCTGGTCGGGAGGTTGAGGATCCTTTGAAAAATTGAGGGTTCTTTTTCCTCTCTTTTTCAGTTTTCCAGGAATCCTCCTCCCACTCTTCCAGTTCCCGGAAGGAAGGAAGCTTCCCACCATCATGGTCTAGCCTCCTCCGTTGATGCCGGGTATGCGGAGGAGTTTGACCACTAGGTGGTGGCATATTTTGTGCCCTCATTGCCTCCATGAGCACTGCCAGCGCTCTTGCCACCTCCTCCGAGCTGGGCCCCGTCAAAGGGGTCCTCGGCAGAGTGTGGGAATGAGAGCGCACAGTCGATGGTTGGCTTTGGGGCACTGAATGTGTCCTATGATCGGACTCACCCCTGCTAGACCGAGAGTGACTCGGCCTCTCATGAGAGTTATGAATTACGGGAGGAAGGGAATCCTCCCTGTATGATCCTCCCCCCGAGCTGGCACCCATGGGAGGGTTCCAGTCCGGCGAAGGTGATGGTGTAGGAGTCTTAGGCTTTTCGCCCGCTCCTTGACGGAGGTTTTTGCTCTTGCGGTTCTTAGCCATTGCTGCTAAGATATTTGCAAGATGATCAAAATTGGCTTAAAGATTTTTGAAAGTCTTCCCCACAGACGGCGCCAAATTGTTTCGGGTGAAAACAATGGGACCTTGCCGAAGGTCCGCTGAAAAGGAGAAGACTGGATTCGGTCCAATTTGTGTTGGGCCGAAGGTTTCCTGCACAGTAAACACACGTAAACTAGCCTCGGGGGTGTTGCCGAGGAAGGCCCCTCCGATGCTAAAGTCAGTACAATGTGTTAAAGAGAACACTATGCAAGAGAGTTTGTTGCTTGAGGCTTTGATGGAATATATCAGAATGTATGAATGAACATGTATATATGTGTATGTATGAATATTGATGGCTTTTATACCTCTTCATAAATGGATAGGTTGGGCCTTAGCCCAATTGACTTGCTCTGTGGGCTGACCTTTGACTTTAGCACAATTGGAGAGTTGAACCTTGACCTTGGGCTTTTAATTGGATCATTTAATGCCTAGGCCCAATTGGACTAAATTGGACCCAAACAAAAGTTAGTTGGTACTTTGAATATATAGGTTATTTTTATGAGGAATAATCATTTATGATGACCTTAATCATCTACTAGTAATTCAAAATTAAAAGTCAATGAATTTGTTGACTATCATTGCCTAGCCCAATGGCCAGATTAATTCTTTTTATTTCAGCCAAAGGGCCAAACAAAATAATTCTCTTATGGTCAGCCCAAGGTTCGAATAAACCCAGGCCAAGGTGTTAGACAAAACCTAAGAATTTGATTAAAAAAGAAGACGATAATTGTAAAACAGACAATATAAGACCTTTTGCTAAGTATGGAGATAATAGACACGCGCGGTTTATGTTTAGGAGATAGCAATGTCTCGATAGAAAAAATCAATACCACTCTGTCACATAAATTATATGCAATCGCAGTCTGATTACATAGGTTAACCTTAGTTCAACAAAGACCAAGTAATTCAGGGATTAAACTAGCTTGTTGTGCTAAAAGACATCAACTTCAATCTCAATCATCATTCCAAGTTTCCAACAACGTTCACTCTCAGGCAGTTCATTATTCCATTTTGCTATCCTTTTCTCTCTTGTGGTTGACTTTGATTTGTCGTCCATAAGCCATAAATAAGTAGATTAGGATATGTAAAACGACTCACCTTCTTAACTAACTAGCCAAAAAAAAAAAAAAAAAAAAAAACACTAAGCATGTTCGTTATACGATCTCTCTTTCTTCTCTTCTCATGGCTTTGGTTGAGTTTGGCTATGATCACATTTGCCGCCACCCCTATTGCGAAATCTGGTTGCCCAACTAAATGCGGAGACTTAACCATTCAATACCCATTTGGATTTGGGCTAGACGGAGCATGTTCCCTTAGTAGCATGTACAACATAAATTGTAACACCTCCTTTGACCCTCCGAAATCCTTCTTGGGTACGACTAACCTTGAGGTCTTGGATCTTTTCGATAATGGGCAGATGCGAATTCGAAACTATATGGCAACTAGGTGCTACCAAGGAGGGGAGATAGATAATTCCACAAGATCATCGAGTGTGGCATGGATTAATCTTGGCGATTTACCACTCGTGTTTTCAGACATAGAGAACAAGTTTGTCGTTGTAGGTTGCGATGACTTAGCTTTGATCAAAGGCACCTTGGGTCGTTCCTCGACCCCCTTTACAAGTGGGTGTGTTGCTGTGTGTGCTAGGCCTGATCAAGTGCTTAATGGATCGTGTACCGGGATTGGTTGCTGCCAAACATCCATTCCGAAGGGGCTCAAAACGTTTATAACATCAGTAACGAGCTTAGACAATCACACAAATGTGTCCTACTTCAATCCTTGTGGTCACGCTTTCGTGGCGGAGCAGAATAAGTTCACCTTTAATCTAGCAAATCTTTCTGATCCTATGTTTAGAAGCAGAATGAAGGATGAAATCCCGGTCATGCTCGATTGGTTTGTTGGGGTTAATCAGACCTGTAGTCAAGCCAAGGGGGATCCGGCTACATATGCTTGCCAACAAAATAGTGACTGCACCGATTTTGATAACGGATTAGGATATCGTTGTAGCTGTCTTTCTGGTTATCAGGGTAATCCTTACCTTAGCCCTGGTTGTACAGGTCAGTTCTTTTTTATATGTCGATCCCTTACTCTTAATTCTTTTGTTTTTATTTTTCCGCCCTATTTGACTTTTTATGGTTTTCAAGACGTGTCTTAAAACGAATATACACTATTTGTAAATTAATAAATATATAGTGAGATGAATCCAACAAGATTACAAAATCCACGTGACTATATATCTCTTATAAATCAATGATAATTAATAGTCAAGGTTTTAAAAGTTTGACCTAAATTAGGCTATGGGGCAAAAATTTAAGGATGTAAAGAGTAATGAAATATTATCCCACGATTTTTATTCTATGATTTACATTTTCCAAACAAAATTAATTTACACAATATTTTACCCCATTCAACATTCAAAACCGGTCAAACCAATGCACTAACAAAAATGGATTTAGTACATATTATTCATATGATTAATATAGTTTAACCTTTTTCATTATTCATTTATTCATGTACATGTAATTCAATGCAACTTTTAACAAAATAACCACGCCTCACAAGTCACAATGAAACCCTCATACAGGGTGATTTATTTTTTTGTCTTACTCCACAATCTCTCGAAATTCATTGTTACATTATTTTGCGCTTAACATGATACTTAATATAAACTTATTCGTCTGTGTCATTGTATATCCTCATCTTGTAACATAATCGAAGAGAATATCATAATCGTATTAATGGATGTATGATTGATTGTCCATAATGATTTTCGTCAAAATTTGGCAGATATTGATGAGTGCACAGGTTCAATCAAGCCTTGCTCTCATTTATGCTCTAATACCCTTGGCGGTTACAAATGCTCTTGTCCGAAAGGACACCGTGGTGATGCTCTTAAGAATGGCACTGGTTGTACAAGTGATAATTCACAATTCGTTACAAGGTTCAGTTTAGGTAATTGTTATGTTTTATGTATTTCTGGATTGAATGAGTAGTATTATTATCAAACGTTTATTTTTCTATATTTTGCTCTTGTTGTTTTTTTTTAATGGTCACACGAATGGGGGGCTGTGAGGAATCGAACCCCTTAAGAGGGGTGGGGAGCATCCCTCATCTCCTCACTCCTCAGTTATCTTTTGCTTTTTACACCAACATAATGTTAAAAATTGGGAACATAATAACCAAAATTTCGCCAAAATTGCTTTGGCAGGTATGAGCTTTGGAGTCATATTCTTGCTAATATTAGTGGGTTGGATTTATTTTAGCGCCAGAAGGAAGAAGCTTATGAAATTGAGAGAGAAGTTCTTTGAGCAAAATGGAGGACTTTTAATGAAACAACAACTTTCTCAAAAAGGAGGGACTATGGAGTCGTCCAAAATATTTTCTGCAGATGAATTAAAAGTCGCAACAAATAATTATAGTGAAGATCGTATTTTAGGTAAAGGTGGTTATGGTACAGTATACAAGGGGATTTTTAGGGATGGACGTGAAGTTGCAATTAAAAAATCAAAAGTTGCAGATGAATCCCAAGTTGAGTTGTTTATCAATGAAGTAGTCATCCTTACACAAATCAACCATCGAAATGTGGTAAAACTCTTAGGATGTTGTCTTGAGACCGAGGTACCTTTGCTCGTGTATGAATTCATCTCGAATGGTACTCTCTTTGAACATATCCATAAGAGTAAGGGTATCACATCTTGGCTTACTTGGGCAAATTGTATTAGACTTGCTGCAGAGGCTGCTGATGCGCTTGCATATCTTCATTCAGCCGCTTCAATACCAATTATTCATCGAGATGTTAAATCCACCAACATACTAGTAGACGAAAGTTATACGGCAAAAATAGCTGATTTTGGTGCCTCAAGGTTAATACCAATTGATCAAAGTCAGGTGACAACATTAGTTCAGGGGACAATGGGATATTTGGATCCAGAGTACTTCCATACAAGTCAATTAACGGAGAAAAGTGATGTTTATAGCTTTGGTGTTGTACTTGCCGAGCTCTTGACTAAAGAGAAACCTCTTTCATTTGAAAGAAAACAGGAAGAAAGAAATTTGGCTACATACTTTGTCCTATCATTGAAGGAAGATCGTTTAATGGAAATCCTTGATCCTCAGTTGGTGAGGGAAGCTAGTGAAGTGCAGCTAGTTACACTAGCAAAACTCGTTAAGAATTGCCTTAATGTCAAGGGTGAAGATAGACCTACCATGAAAGAAGTGGCTCTTGAACTAGAGGGTTTAAAAAAACAGAACAGGCATCCTTGGGCCGAGCACAATCACGAGGAGACAACCGGCTTAACTGGCCAACATGATCTTTACCCTGTGCCTTCAAATGGTTATAGTGGTAATCCAAGTACTGGAGAGTTCTCTGGACTGAATTCAATAGATATTAATATGATTACTAATTTGAACCACCCTCGTTAATGGTTAAATAATCATGCAAAAATTCTCCTTCTATCTTGAAGAAAAAAGTTTGAATTTGTAGACTATTATGTTATTCCATGTAAACCATATATAGAAATATTTAATCTTTGAATTGTTCTTTCCGATCCTATGTGACCATTCCATGTGTCGATTATACGTCCCTCATGTATCCAACTTTTAAACAAAACTGCTTCTATCAGATTTATGTCATCTGAAATTATTTTTCTTTCCATGGATTGAGAATAAAAATGGAAAAATTATACATATTACTTTGAAAGGAGCTCTGTTCTTGAAAGCAAAAACGATTATCATGTCACATGATCGGATAGTCTGATAGGAATTTGTGCTACTAGTAATGGAATAGCATGTTGTTTGGCCTAGACGGAGCATATATATACTCTGTATATATTAGTCCAACGACATGATTAGATTGCAGCACTTCCTTCAAATTCCCACACTACTAAAAATTGGCCAAATTGCGACCAGCGCAAACGGTCGCAAAAAAAAGTAAAAACGGTCGCAAAACATAATTGCGACCGGCAACGGGCGCAACATGGCGGTCGTTATTATTTTGGTCGCAAAAAAAATAATATTACGACCGTTTGGCGATCGAATATTTTTAACGGCCGTTTTACCTATTTTCAACGACCGTTAAAAAAACGGTCGCAAATATTGAATTTAGCAACCGTCATAAGCCGTCGCTAAAAGTATTAAAAAAAAAGAAAGAAAGAAAAAGACCCACCCTTAAACCCAGATCCCACCCAAACCACCACCACTGCCCACCCTACACAACCACTAGTCGCCGCCTCTACCCACCATTACCTTCATCCACCTTCAACCACTCATACCCACCACCACCCACCCTTAACCCAGAAATTCGAACACAACAATTAAACCCAGATTTTCGAATAAAAAAATTCAAACATAACAATTCCAACCCAGAAATTCGAACACAACAATTTAACCCAGAAATTCGAACAAAAAAATTCGAACACAACAATTTAACCCAGATTTTCGAACAAAAAAATTCGAACACAACAATTAAACCTAGAAATTTGAACAAAAAAATTCGAACACAACAATTAAACCCAAAAATTCGAACAACAAAATTCGAACACAAAAATTAAACCCAGAATTTCGAACGAAAAAATTCAAACATAACAATTAAACCCAGAATTTTAGTACAAAAAAATCAAATAAAAACGTACAATCGAACCTAAATTTGACAAATTAATCCACAAATCCGAACCTAAATTCAACAAAAAATTCGAATGTAAATTCGACAATTAAACCCACAAATTCGAACCTAAATTCAACAAAAAGTTCGAACCTAATTTCGACAATTAAATCCACAAATTCGAACCTAAATTCGACAATTAAACCCACAAATTCGAACATAAATAAATTAAACCCACCTTTATTAATATTTTTTCCTCTAATGGTTCATATGGTCGAATTCGACCACAAAAACTCCAGATCTGAATTTTTATGGTCGAATTTGACCATTAACACCATAAATCGGTTGTTGCTCGTTGAATTTATCAAAATTTATTTATTTCTCAGTTAAGAATCACCAAAGAAGATTAATTAAGGCAGCTAGCACTGGTGTAAAAGAGAACGGAGGTAAGAGAAGAAGAGGATAAAGGAAAAGGAGAAGAGGAAAAAGATCGGGGATAAGAGGAAACAAAAGGAGAAGGGGAAACTGATTAAGGAAAAAAGAAGAGGAAATAGAGAGAAGGAAGAGGAGAGAGGCGTGAGAAATGAAAAAAATGAGAGAGGGGAAGTGGAGCGGCTGTATGCTTATTAGGGTTAGGGTGTGCTTCTCTCCCCCTTTATATAACCCTTTTTTAAAAAAAAAAAATAGATTTTTTGCGACCGGCATTAGCGGTCGTAATTTTGCGACCGACTCTCAAATGGTCGCAATTGTAGAAATTTGCGACCGACTCTCAAACGGTCGCAATTGTAGAAATTTGCGACCATTAGTAACGATCGCAACAATATTATTTTTATTTTGAATTATTTTTTACATGTATTTTATTTTTAAAAACTATTTAAATGCCTTTGCGACCGCTTTAAAAACGGTCGCAAATTTAATATTTTGCGACCGTTTTCATGACGGTCGTAGAAAAACGGTCGCAAATTGGCCGAATTTTAGTAGTGCCATAATTGTTCATAAACATTTATCAACGAGGTTAGTAGCTTAGAAATAATCTGTGGTTTATACACACGGGTGTACAGTGCTCATCGTACATGTATTTGACAAAGAACATGTTTGTATTTGACAACAACATGCATTACCAAAGAACATACAGATATAATAAAAAAAAAACGAGATAAAAACTTAATAAAATTTTCTGAGGTGATAAAAAATCGAGTAGGGCCGGGCCATATCATATTTTCTCGTGCCCAAAACCTTAGAAAAGTAGCGGGTTTTCGGGTTTTTTTCGAGCCCGGTTCGAGATTTAACTAAAAATACATTTTTAGGTTTGCCCAAACCCACCCTATTTCGGGCCGGATCGGGTTGGGATGCGAGTCATGCCAATGTTGATCACCTCTTAAAAAATCCTTACCAAAGATATCATTTTCCCAAAAAATAGTTTTCTATCTCTCCAAAAAAAATCAACTTCCCATAATAATTTAGTTTTTGTACACTAATATTATTTTCAATTAAAAATAATTTAAGATTGCAATATCAAATTTCTAAATAACATATGTTAAAAGAACATAATTTATATTGTAAAGTACATATAGTTAATACCTAAATAACACACTAATCAAACTCAAAGAACATACGATTATAAAAGTAATTTAAATATGACATATGATAATAAAAATAGAATTTAGGCATCACTAGAACCTTAAAGAACATACACATCAAATTCAAAGAACATACTTTGTATTATTAAACCCAAAAAAAAATATGTTTATTAACATATGTTAAATAACATAAGTTATAATGTAAAGAACATATAATTTTACTCAAAGAACACACTAATCACACTCAAAGAACATATTAAAGGTATGTTCTTTGTCAAACATAGGTATGTTCTTTATCAAACATTATATGTTTTTTCCGCCTTTTTTTATTTACTCGGGTGCACCATGAAACTCTATATACTTGTTAATTTCTTACCAACTCTTCCTAACCCCCATTGTTCGTTTCAACATGTAGCCTCCACGTGAAGAATTTAGAGACAGAGAGGAGCTAACTATAAGTTTACAAATCTTGTAACAAACATCAGGAACATTTGCATGATACATGTTAATTTGTCTGATGCTATACCTTACTCATAAATTACCTTATGGTTAAAGCATTTCATTTGAAATGCTGGATTTGGGTCAAAGTTCATGTTTGGGTAAACCAAACATTTGGATTTAGAATTTTCCTAATTTCAACCCAATTAAAACGCTATTCCATATAAGAGAATTTGAAATTCAATCCAAAATCCTATCATTTGAAATCCCAAAAGTAAAAAAGATCAACATTTTGTTTTCTCTCTCTTTGTGCTCTTTGAGTGTCTCATATCAAGCTTTCTCTCTCTTCAAATTCTAGCGCGCTCTCTCTCTCTCTTCAACCTCTCTCACACAAGCTTTCTCTCTCCTCACGTGTTTTCTCTCTCCCCCTCTACTGTGAAATTACACTTCTAAATTAAACAATTAGATAATTGAAATAGGATTTGAGACCAAACCCTCAGAAGTTATCAACCTTTCACGTCCAGGGCGAAGGCAACTTCGAACTTGGCTAAGTGAGTCTAGAACTTGTGAATCCGGAATTTTGTAAAAAGGGAAGGTTTAGAAAGAGGGAGAAGAATAAGCTATTGCTTGAGAATTATTAAGGATTGTTGATGATTGTGAATGTTGATGATTGAAAACGAGAAGTTATGACCCTATTTATAAAGAAAATAGTACGAAAACGATGGAAAATAATCAGAATTTGAAACTAAATAAAACTGGCGACTGGGCCCAGCGCAAAACGACAAGCATCACGCATGGCGACAGGGTCTGTCGTTTGGCGCTAATTAAAAGATAAAACGCGCTTTGTACGGAATCCTTTTCTTAATATGATTAAGCAATTAAACTCCGTTCTTATCAATTTTAAATAAGATTTTATCATAATAAAAATTATTTTCTTAGAATGTGACTTGTTTTACACAATGCGTGGTTCCTACACCCAGGTGTATCATGCACATGGTACACCTGAATTTTGAATTTCAAATTTTAAATGAGGCTCTTTATATGACTATATAATGTTCTTTATAACAAAAATAATTTTTATTCTCTAAAATTATTTGACCTAAAAATAACTTAAGATTTCGTTTTTAAATTTCAAATTTTAAATTTATAAATTTTATTTTCAAAATTTTAGTTTTCAATTTTTTTTTTTATTTCATTCATATTTTTCACCTTTAATATATATAGTTACAATATTCATTTTAGGGTTGGTGTATATACTTTTCTTGTGATGTTCTATATGTGCTTTAATAATGTTTTCTATAAGAAAACATGATGTACTTTATAGTTGTTTGTAATGTACAATTATTTTTTAAAACTATATCTTTTTACTTATGTCCATAATTATATCATATAATGATTTTTATTAATTAGATTTTTTGACGGTTTATTTTAATTGTCCATGTTTTCTTTTTATTGTAATTGCAATGTACTTTTATCGTCACATAATGTTCATTGCTTATTGTGAAATGTTCTTTGAATTTTGTCTTTGGATCGTGGTAGATATATATCTATAAGTTATGTTCATTTCATAATATTATCATGTTCTTTAATAATATTACGGATGTTCTTTAGATCTGAAAAACAATCATCAATAGAGGAGATCTCAAAAGAATATCGTCATCAACCTTCACGATCCTGATTTTTTTAAAAAAAATATACGTAGTTAGTGATAATTAATATTAATATATATATATATATAGAATTAATAAATGATATATTATTTTTAAAAAATTATAATAATTCGAAGAACATACAGAATAAATCAAAGAACATAAAGGATAAAAATAAAGAACATTCATATAATTGTTCAATAACTATAATAACGAACATAAGTACAATTTATAGAGAACACCATCTTCATCATTTGACAAAATATAAAGAACATCATTTTCAACATTTGATAAAATAAAAGAACCAATCTTCAACCTTTGTCATATGGATCTCAAATTCATAAATATCAAAATTGAAAAAAAAAAACAACGATATTTTACAAAAGTCGTGCAAAATAATAATGAATTAAAATCAACCTAATAAGCGAAATCCTGAAATTATAATCATAACAAATAAAATCAAATTACCTTAGCTTCTCCGATTCATCGATTACAATGTTCTCATAATTTGCTCTGTATTTTTCTCTCTACAAAATTATAAACTTTATTCTCTCTTAATTCGAAATTGAAATATGGTGAAATTTAATTTTGAAAGTTATGTAAAAATGGAGAATATCACGTTGAATCCCATGAATTGTGGAAGAGATTTTTTTTGTAATAAAAACTGACAGCTTGCAAATAAAATGTTAAAAACGCGTCATTTAACACTAGGTGTACCATGAGCATGGTACACCCTAGTGTAATATACAATTTTCAGTTTTCCAATAAGAAAAAATATTGCTCAGATTTTGGCCTACTTTTGTTTTAGTTGTATATTAGATGCTACAATTAAAAAGTTGCAAAAATATCAAATTATGAAATTATAATACTTATCAATCAATAATCTATAAGTATATATATAACTATAGAGCACCGTGCATGACACGGGATATAACTTATTATTGACAAAAACAAATTAATGGATATGGAGTAATCTTATGGGAAGGAGTGGTGGGACAAAAAAACATATTGTCTACGACTGGAGTATTTGTTTTCTTCTGAACAAAATTAAAGAATACTCTATATCAAAAGGCTAGGAAAAGGTAATTGATAGAAATTATAATGTATAGATTATCATGCTTACCATGTTAGCAAGAATATTCTATACATAATGAATTAGTAAAGATAATATTCTATCAGTAATTGCAAAACAAAACAAAAAAGGTCAATGTTTGTTGGAAGCAGAATGAGCTGAGGTCAACACTTGCAGGGACATCGCATTCTATTCCAAAACATAAAATATGCATAGATCTACAAAAGTGGAAAACGTCCCCCCCACCCATTCCCCTCAAAACACAAACAAATATCACACAAATTATTCCCTCAATAGGTACTAATTTAATGAGTAAACGAGCGGATGATCACGTCAAATACAGAAAAAAACAACTTGCTTGATAATATGTGCACAAAACGAATACAATGGAGATAATTTAATGAGTAAACGAATCACAGTCCTCTAATTAATAAAATTCATCATATATTCATATATATACATCCATTTAATTGACTTTAAAATATACCTTTAAAAAAACATTAAGATAAAAAAAGAAAATAAAAAATCAACTTTTTTACCAATAGAAAATCTGATTGAATGATTAAACTTATAATTTATTTTAAGAATTTTTGTGAAAAAATCACTTTTTATAAGCAATTTATTGCAAGAAACCACCTTAATCAATTTTTTTTTTTTTTTTTTTTTTTTTTTGCAAATCATTACCTTAATGTGGAAAATGATTTTTTACCCCATTTTTCGACGTTGACTACCCATTCCACCCACGAAACCACCTCTCTCCCCAGCCCCACCCACGAAACCACCTCCCTCCCCAACACCACCCGCAAAATCACCCTTTAACAGCATTGACCACCCTAAACACACCCCTTTAATGGCGTTGACCACCATAAACACACCCCTTTAACGATGTTGACCACCCTAGACCCTCCTCTATAGCCCTAGCCACCCTTCTCCCCTCCGCTGTCAGCGCCGGCACCCCTAGGTCCTTCAACCCTAAATTAACACTCAAACCACCCTAAATTCATATTTCGCCAGGTGTTGGAAAGAAGGGAGTTTGATTTCGTTGGTGGGGATGAGGAGGGGAGGCGGTTTCGTGGGTGGAGCGAAGGAGGGGGTTATTTCGTGAATTGGGCTGGGAAGGGGAAGGTTTTGTGGGTGGGGTAAGGGTAGTCAACGCAGGAAAATAGGGTATGACCCCATTTTCCGACATAAAGGTATGGTTTTGCAAAAAAAAAAAAAAAATTGATTAAGGTGTGTTTTTGCAAAATAAAATTTTTAAGGTGGTTTATTGCAAAAAATTGCTTATAAAATGTGGTTTTTTTTTTGCAAAATTTCCATTATTTTATTTTATTTTTCTCTAAGTTTATCTTACTTTATGTTTTCAAATTTTACCTTTAATTCTTCAAAAAAAAAAAAAAAAAAAAAATTACCTTTAATTATTGTCAAATGATTGGTTTCTTGAAAATTAGAATTATATCTCACAATTATTTATCTTCATCTTCTTCTTTTTTCTCCTCCGATTTTTCTGGTTTTCTTTTATGGAGGATGGTTCATTTGTAATACTCGTATATAATACAGTAGAGTATTAGGATTAAAGTTTATAAACTAAACTCAAATGTGGGTTTTTAATGGAGATTGGAGATCAAAATACTTTGAACTTAGAAATTGCCTACGTGCTACTGCTATGTCAATGGCATAGTTCAGTTTTTTGCTTTAGATAGAAACTGAAAAACAGTTTTTCAATCATAATCAAGAAAACTTTTTTTTTTTTTCTTCATTTCTAGTTAAAATTTAAAGTCAATTGGATGAATAGACAAGATTAATCATTAAAAAACTAATTACATACAATTGCTACAATTTTATTGTAGCCATTGAATAGTCTTCTTAATGTAAAGTTAATTAGGCCACTTATATACTTCATCAACTAGTTTATTCGATAATCTCAATCATCCCAACTTGCATCCTGTTGAAAAATTATTTAGTGATTATTAATAAGTATTTATAGGGTCCAAGACTTTGGATGAATTTCGCCATAAGCCATAGACATCATCAAAAACTAGAAATGATGAGAGTGCAAACTTTATTTTCCCTCTCTTCATTATGTATATGGTATACATTTTTTGCCATGCTTTTTGTCATTAGTTTCGCCACCATTCCCATTGCCAAACCCGGCTGCCCAACTAAGTGCGGAAAGGTAACTATTCCGTATCCATTTGGCATCGGCTCAGAGAAAGGATGTTCCTTTAGCAAGTTCCACAGCATACATTGCAACAACTCCACTAATCCCCCAAAACCATTCATGTTAAGTAATTTTACTCATTCCCTGGAGATCATAGACATATCTCTAACCGGCCAGATGCGAATCAGGAATAGATTGGCCACAAAATGCTACCAGCCACGGCAGGTAATAGTACAATCCATAATGAGCAACGATGTAATAATATATCTAGATAATTTACCATTAGTGGTATCAGATACTGCAAACAAGTTCATCGGTATTGGTTGTGTTGATGACTTGACTATGATAATTGCAGAAAGTACACCGATACTTGTCCACATGAGTGGCTGTGGAGCTACGTGTAATACACCAGAGAATATGCATAAGCAAAATGATACGTCGTGTATGGGTAACGGTTGCTGCCAATTGGAGATCCCAAACAAAGGATTGAAACATGTAAGGATCATAACAGAATCTTTGATCGATGTTGGAAACACCACAAATAACAACGTATCCTATTGCAGCGCTGCCTTTTTAGCCGAGGTAAACGAATTCACCTTTAGCGTGGCCGATCTTTTTGGTAATAACGCAGGGTTTATAAAAAGAACAATTGACAATGTTCCGGTTGTGCTGGATTGGTATGTTGGTGTTAATGAGACGTGCCGAGAAGCTCAGCAGAATCGGTCAAGGTCCAGTTATGCTTGCATGGAGAATACCGACTGCACCGATGTTTACGGCGGCACTGATTTTGGGTACCGTTGCAGCTGTAGAACAGGTTACCAGGGTAACCCCTATCTCAGTCCTGGATGCACGACAGGTCAGTCTTCCTGCATAATTTCCATAACTAAAATTTCTGAGATTTTGAGGCCGGGTTTATTATAAACAATCCACTCAAACAATTGGCATCGTTTAGTTTAACTTTCAATTATTAACTAATGTTAGTGTATCAAGTTCTTTTTGTTGTCTCATTTATTTGTGTATGGTCAAACAAACACATACTTTGATAACAGATAAATCACAATTTTGCAATATATAGAAAAAACATCACAATTTATCCATTTTAAAACAACGTTGGGATATAATTAGGTGCAGGACATAACAGATTACAGATACATATCATCTCCTATATTACTTACTAAGTATTTCTCAATTTTTCCCTCTGGCAGATATTAATGAGTGTGAAGGTCCAATCAACCCCTGTACTCATATATGTAAGAACACCATTGGCAATTACACATGCTCTTGTCCTAAAGGATATAGTGGAACTGGCCGGAAGGATGGCGGCACCCCTTGTTTTAAAAATAAATCGAATACATTGAAGCTTGGTTTAGGTAAATCCCTTAAAATCTAAAAACTCACTCCTTATTTTAATGATAGTACAGAATATTGGTAAAATTATATCCTTACTATAGTAATTGATTGTACAATAATTTACTCTGTGACGAAAGCTAACAAGATTATACCAAAAATTGTTTGCGCAGGAATAGGCCTTGGACTCGCGTTCTTAATGTTTATATTTGGTTCGGTAAATCTATTCTTCAGAAGAAGGAAACTTATGAAAAAAAGAGAGAAATTCTTTGAGCAGAATGGAGGGGTATTATTGTCCCAACAACTTCATCCAAATGGAGGAACTATGGACTCATCTAAAATATTTTCTATTGAAGAACTACAAAAAGCAACAAATAATTATCACGAAGATCGTATTTTAGGTAAAGGTGGTTATGGTACAGTATACAAGGGGATTCTTAAGGACGGACGTGAAGTTGCAATAAAGAAATCCCGAGTGACTGATCGAACACAAGTTGAGCAATTCATAAACGAAGTTGTTATTCTAACTCAAATTAACCATCGAAATGTGGTTAAACTCTTAGGATGTTGTCTTGAAACCGAGGTTCCTTTGCTCGTGTATGAATTTATCTCGAACGGTACTCTCTTCGAACATATCCATAGAAATAAGGGTGTCACGTCTTGGCTTACTTGGGCTAACTGCATCAAGCTTGCTGCGGAGGCTGCTGATGCACTTTCATATCTTCATTCAGCGGCTTCAATACCAATCATTCATCGAGATGTTAAATCCAGCAATATCCTATTAGACGAAAATTACACTGCTAAGATATCTGATTTCGGTGCTTCAAGGTTAGTTCCAATTGATCAAACTCAGGTGACAACATTAGTTCAAGGGACATTAGGATATTTAGATCCAGAGTACTTCCAAACAAGTCAACTGACAGAAAAAAGTGATGTTTATAGTTTCGGAGTTCTACTTGCTGAACTCTTAACAAGAGAAAAGCCTCTTTCCATAGAAAGGAAAATGGAAGAGAGAAATTTGGCAATATATTTTATTCTCTCAGTTAAAGAAGGTCGATTGATGGAAATCCTTGATCCTCAGTTGGTTAGGGAAGCTAACGAAGAGCAACTAATTACAATGGCGAATCTAGCTATGAAATGTCTTTACGTCGTGGGTGAAGATAGGCCAACTATGAAGGAAGTGGCCCTTGAGCTCGAAGGATTAAGGAGTCAAAATAGGCATCCTTGGGCCGATCAGAGCCATCAGGACGAGACAAGCAATTTAACAAACCAAAATGATCTTTATCCGATGCCCTCGAATGCTAATTATAATGGTAATCCAAGCACCGGAGAATTCACGACTGGACAGTACACAATGCAAATCGATATGATTAACGAAATGAACCACCCTCGCTAAGGCTTGAGTCATGCATGATTAAGGAATATACGAAGAAAAGCCATCATAATCCGGATATATATAGTTAGATGTTTTGGGTTTCTTTATGTTGTTTCCTTTAAATTGTTAATTGTTCCTTCTGCTAAGTAAAAATTTGATTGATCTAAATACATTATACGACCTCATGAAGTGTATAAAGACAAGTCCTCAAACTTTACTTGATTGCTAATCCCTTATCTTGAACACTAAGGGTCTGTTTACATTTACTGAAATGAGCTGAACTGAACTGCTGATTAGAGCTGAATTGAACTGATTGGAGCTGAACTGAACTGAACTAAGCTTAAATAAATATTTTATGAGAGAGGGAAATTAAGAGCTGAACTGAACTGAACTGAACTGATTGGAGCTGAATTGAACTTAACTAAAATGATTGGAGCTGAACTGAACTGAAATTAAGTAAGTGTGAACAGGCCCTAATACACATAAATATGCATTTATAAAACTATCATCAATACATGTTAAACTATAAAAGTTCATTTTTTTGTCAAAAAAAAATAAAAAAATAAAAAAATAATTCATTTTATTTATTTTCTCTGAATTAACCCCTTTGTAAATTATTAGGATTACCCTACAATTTTTTATTTTTGAGATACATTTTAAAAATTAAGAAACTAGGTTAAGGCCCTGTTTCATTCACCTTAATTTTGCTGGACTGAAATTATTTTTACTGAAGTGATCGAACTTATTTTTACTGAACTGAAATTATTTTTACATATTTTCTATTATAATTATTCTTTAAGAAAACTGAATTTTACTGAACTGAAATTATTTTTACTTAATATTATTTTTTTAAGGTGAAGAGAACAGGGCCTAAGACCCATACCATGCACGGTAATAAGTCCAAAGCCAATAGCTAGCTTATTATTTTAAATATAAATAAATATATATATATATATATATATTAAAAAAACAAAACAAAATTCGATAGATATACATATAAAAAATATAAAATAAAATATAAATTTGGGAGATAATCCTATTTGAGAAATAACACAACATTTAATACACAATTTTCATTAGAGAACAGATTAAAAGATAAATAAAAACAACTTTTTTTGAAGAAAAAATGGTAACTATTAGAGTTTTCTCCATATTTACATTTTTTTTTACAGAGAATCTACGTATTTAAAAAAAAAGTTCTATATTTAAAAAAGACTTGAAAAATAGTTTTACTTGAAAATTTATCTCACAAATTGGTGTACAAAATCAATCATGTACTTCATTCATCAGCTTTTGTTTTTTTTTTTAAATTTTTTTTTATTGTGTTGTTCATTTGAGGTTTCTCTCTACTACTCATTTTCAAAATGAAAAGTGCATTATCCACTGTCAAGAAGATGAACAACGGCTTAGCTTTCATTGATTTTGTGTTTGAGGACCAACTCAATCAAAAGCTTAAACTGATGGTTGAGGCCCAGGAATATGTTTCATACTCTATCATTTTGCATTTCAATATTTGTAATACAAGACCTAGGAAGATCAATAGGTCATCAGCTAGGCAACTACCAAAAATAAATAATCATAATTTATATAAGATAATATTTTCCATAATTATTAATCCTAAATATATCTCACTAGTCACTATCCATGGTAGAAATAGGTAATAACATACTTCGTATTTAATTTCCACACGGTAGATAGGGGCAAAGGCAGGATATGGGAATGAACTGAGTAGGTTGTGACTTGACTTATAAATATATTTAGGGGAAAAAACTAATTCCATTTTACTTTTGTAAAGCTAACGTCACAAATCTCTTAGAAACTTCAACAATAAATACTATTCTAGCTAATAAATTTAAATTGAATAAATGAAAAGTAATAAAAAAAAATATATCTCAAAGAAACTTCAACAATAAATACTATTCTGTAATAAGTTAAATAAAAGAAAAGTAAAAAAATAAAAGTGATGCAAGCTAAGAAAGAAAAAATAAAATAAATGCATATGCAAGAGATTAGAATCAAACCCATGACTAGTGCAAATAAGTAGTCAATTCACATCCATGTACTCTGTATTATAATATATTCATAAGAATTAAAAACTAACCTTTGATTTGTGCTTCTCATAAACAAATCAACAAAATGAATACAAAATGAACCGGAGAAGATTCCTTCAAATTGGGATGTTGTATGGTATTCATTCTTAAAATATATGACTCACTATATTTAATTTTCATTGGTTCATTTTTTTTTAAGAGGTTGATTTTTTTTTTTATATATATATTATTTAGCCAGTTTAACTTATTAAAAATGATTTTATTTACCTAAAATATGTATTTTTTTGGAAATTAAGTTAAATTTTTAGTTTAAAAATTCAAATAATTAATATTTGAAAAGAATTTTTAAATTTTTTTTTATCACGTTCATATGTGATTGGCCACACCTAGAGCTGTCAATTTGGGTAAACGGATTGGGTTTTGGTCGGGTAAGAGTGGGTCGGGTCAATTCGAATTAATTCCATAACCTACGTGGGTCGGGTTTGGGTTGGGTCATTTTTGAGTCGGGTCACGTTGGGTCATACTTCTTACCGGGTTTGGGTCGGGTTTAGGTCGGGTTAATAACAGGTGGGGTTACATTCGGGTCGAGTGAACAATAGGTCGGTTTAATTCGGGTTTTCACATGTTAAAACGGGTTAGGGTAATTCTCATAGTCGAGTCGGGTTCGGTTCAAGTCAATAATTTGCCGGTTAGAATCAGGTCGGGTCATTCTCGGGTTTGAGTCGGGTTCAGTTCTAGTCAATAATTTGCGGATTATAATCAGGTCGGGTCATTTTCAAGTCGGGTCATTCTCGGGTTCAAGTCGTCGGGTTCGGTTCAAGTCAATAATTTGCGGGTTATAATAAGGTTGGGTCATTTCCAAGTCGGGTCATTCTCAGATTCAAGTCAGGTTATGTTCAAGACAATAATTTGCAGGTTACAATCAGGTCGGGTAATTTCCAAGCCAGGTCATATTCGGGTTTAACTAACTATAAATAGATAATTATCATTTTTATCAAGCTAATTATTTCCTTTGACTATAATATATATGACAATATACTAGAGAACTATAGTCTATAATTTAGGATGATATTTATCTTCTTTGACCATACAACAAATATATACTATATTTAACTATTAAATTTAAGGATGATGCTCCTTCCCTTTGCTGACTGGACCGACTTGGTCCCTAGATAAAATGCTTTGATCAATAATAATAAGGTGGTCTAAACTGCATTTAAGGTGATTTGAAATCGGGTCAGGAACAATTTGGGTTGAATTTAGGTCGGGTCAATAACAAGTCGTGTTAATTTCGAGTCGGGTGAGTAACATTTCAGGTTGAATTTTTGGGTCGGGTAAATAATAGATCTGGTAAAATTCGGGTCGGTTCAATAACAAGTCGGGTTGAATTTGGCTAGGTCAATAACAAGTCGGTTGATTTTGGGTCGGGCTTGTAACAAGTTGGGTTAAATTCGGGCCGGGTTAGGAACAGGTCGGGCTGAATTCAGGTCAGGTAATAAGTAACAAGTCAGATTAAATTCGGGTTTTGACGGATTAAAATGGGTTAGGGTCAATTTCGGTTCAAGTCGGGTTCAGTGCAAGTTAATTAAATTGGTCGTTATAAACCGGTAATTCAGTGCAAGTTGTAAATTGGCCATTTACCAGCAAATTGGATGGTTCCACACATCCAATTGGAATTTTGTAGGGTATTAAGGACCATGGTAAAAATTTAGGCAATTTTTATTTTCCGGCAAAAAAAAACTTAAATAATTCCAAAATTGAAGGATAATAGCCACGCTTTTTGAGAAATTTTGGAGGTTTCGGGGTCCGGTATCAAAAAATTATTTAAATTCTATGGGATTTATCTCGGGTTCATATAATTCCGTATGAAACCATATATGATCATTATTTGTTGTCAAAAATGTTCGTAATATGCTTGAATTAATGAAAGCAGTGCAAGTTGTAAACCGGTAAATTGGCCGTTTAACAGCAAATTGGATGGTTCTACACACCCAATTGGACTTCCGAAATGTATTAGGGACTATGATAAACATTTCGGCAATTTTTATTGCCGGGCGAAAAATAAAGTCAAAAAATTCCAAAATTGAAGGCTAATATCCATGTTTTTTGAAAAAAATTCAGAGTTTCGGGGCTAAGTGTAGAAAAGTCTTGATATTTTAGAGGATACATCTCAGGGTCATATAATGCCATTTGGAACCATAAATAATCATTATATGATGTCATAAATTTTCGTAGTATGCTCGAGGTAATGAAATATGTGCTAGATAAAAACCAGTAAAGTGGTCGTTTAAAGGTAAATTGGATGGTTCCACCAACCCAATTGGACTCCTGGAGGATATTAGGGATCATGGTAAACATTTCTGCAATTTTACTTTCGGGCGAAAAAAAAAGTCAAAAAATTCAAAAATTGAAGACTAATATCCATGCTTTTGGAGAAATTTTGGAGGTTTCGGGGCCCGATGTCGAAAAGCATTGAGATTTAAAGGAATACGTCTCGGGTTCATATAATGTCGTTTGGAACCATATATGATAATTATATGTTGTCATAAATGTTCGTGGTAGACTTGAGTTAATGAAATCGGTGCAAATTGTAAACCGGTAAATTGGTCGTTTAAAGGCAAATTGGATGGTTTCACCCAGTCAATTGGACTCCCGGAGGGTATTAGGGAACATGGAAAAAATTTAGGCAATTTTTATTTCCGGGCGAAAAAAAGTCAAAAAATTCCAAAATTGAAGACTAATATCCACGCTTTTTTAGGAATTTTGGAGATTTTGGGGTTCGGTGTCAAAAAGTCTTGAAATTCTAGGGGATACATTTCGGGGTCATATAATGTCGTTGCTTGGGAACCATATATGATCATTATTTGATATCATAAATGTTCGTGGTAGTATAGGGTTTACTTAATGTAATCGTTGCAAGTTGTAAACCGGTAAATTGGTTGTGTTAAAGGCAAATTGGATGGTTCCACCCACCCAATTGGACTACCGGAGGGTATTTAGGACCATGGTAAACATTTCGGCAATTTTTATTTTTAGGCGAAAAAATAGTCAAAAATTTCCAAAATTGAAGGCTAATTGTCCACGGTTTTTGAGAAATTTTAAAGGTTTTGAGGCCTGGTGTCGAAAAATCTTTAGATTTGGGGGTATACAAATCGGGGTCCTATAATGTCGTTTGGAACCATATATGATCATTATATGTTGTCATAGATGTTCGTGGTAGGCTTGAATTAATAAGGAAATCGGTGCAAGTTGTAAACTGGTAAATTGGCCTATTAACAACAAATTGGATGGTTCCACACACCCAATTGAACTTCTGGAATGTATTAGGAAATATGGTAAACATTTCGGCAAATTTGTTTCCGGGCGAAATAAAAGTAAAAAAAAATTCCAAAATTGAAGGCTATTATCCACGTTTTTTGAAAAAAATTTAGAGGTTTTGGGGTCCAGTGTAGAAAAGTCTTGTTATATTAGGGGATACATCTGGGGGTCGTTTGGAACCATAAATGGTCATTATATGATGTCATAAATGTTCGTAGTATGCTTGAGGTAATGAAATATGTGCAAGATGAAAACCAGTAAATTGGTCGTCTAGAGGCAAATTGGATGGTTCCACCAACCCATTTGGACTCCCGGAGGATATTAGGGATCATGGAATATTTCTTCACTTTTTATTTCCAAGCGAAAAAAATTCAAAAAATTTCAAAATTGAAGACTAATATCAACGCTTTTTGAGAAATTTTGGAGGTTTTAGGGTTAGATGTCGAAAAGTTTTGAAATTCTAAGAGATATATCTAGGGGTCATGTAATACCGTTTGAAACCATATATGATCATTATATGTTGTCATATATGTTCGTGGTTGGCTTGAGTTAATAAAATCGATGCAAGTTGTAAACCGGTAAATTGGTCGTTTAAAGGTAAATTGTATGGTTCGACCCAACTAATTGGACTCCCGGAGGGTATTAGGGACCATGGTAAACATTTTAGCAATTTCCATGAGAAAAAAAAGTCAAAAATTTCCAAAATTGAAAACTAATTTTTACGGCTTTTGAGAAATTTTGGAGGTTTTGGGCCCGGTGTCGAAAAGTCTTGAAATTCTAGGAGATATATCTCGGGGTCTTATAATGTCGTTTTGAACCATATATGATCATTATTTGTTGTCATAAATGATCCTGGTTGGCTTAAGTTAATGAAATCGGTGCAAGTTGTAAACCGGAAAATTGATCTTTTAAAGGCAAATTAGATGGTTCCACCCACCCAATTGGACTACCGGAGGGTATTAAGGACCATGGTAAACATTTCGTCAATTTTTATTTTTTGGCGAAAAAAGTCAAAAATTTTCAAAATTGAAAGCTAATGTCCACGGTTTTTGATAAATTTTAAATGTGTCTAGACCCGTTGTAAAAAAATCAAGATATTTTGGGGTATACATATGAGGGTCATATAATGTCGTTTGGAACCATATATGATCATTACATGTTGTCATAGATGTTCGTGGTAGGAAATCGGTGCAAGTTGTAAACCGATAAATTGGTCGATTAACAACAAATTGGATGGTTCCACACACCCAATTGGATTTTCGGAATGTATTAGAGACCATGGTAAACATTTTGGCAAATTTTATTTCCTGGCGAAAAAATGGAAAAAAATTCCAAATTTGAAGGCTATTATCCACGTTTTTTTAAAAAAAATTTAGAGGTTTTGGAGCCCAGTGTAGAAAAGTCTTGATATTTTAGGGGATACATCTCAGGGTAGTTTGGAACCATAAATGATCATTATATAAGTCATAAATGTTCGTAGTATGCTTGAGGTAATGAAATCTGTGCAAGATGAAAACCGGTAAATTGGATGTTCATAGGCAAATTGGATAGTTCCACCAACCCATTTGGACTCCCAGAGGATATTAGGTACCATGGTGAACATTTCGATAATTTGTATTTCTAGGCAAAAAAAAAGTCAAAAAATTCCAAAATTGAAAACTAATATCCACGCTTTTTGAGAAATTTTGGAGGTTTTAGAGCCTAATGTCGAAATGTTTTGAAATTCTAAGGGATATATATCTCGGGGTCATATAATGCCGTTTGGAACCATATATGATCATTATATGTTGTCATAAATGTTCGTGGTAGGCTTAAGTTAATGAAATCGGTGCAAGTTGTAAACCGGTAAATTGGTCGTTTAAAGGCAAATTGGATTGTTCGACCCAGCTAATTGCTGGACTCCCGGAGGGTATTAGGGACCATGGTAAACATTTTGGCAATTTTTATTTCTGTGCGAAAAAAAGTCATAATATTCCAAAATTGAAGACTAACAATATCCACGCTTTTTGAGAAATTTTGGAGGTTTCGGGGCCCGATGTCGAAAAGTCTTCAAATTCTAGGGGATACATCTTAGGGTCATATAATGTCGTTTGGAACAATATATGATCATTATTTGTTGTCATAAATGTTCGTGGTAGACTTGAGTTAAAGAAATCGGTGCAAGTTGTAAACCGGTAAATTGATCGTTTAACGACAAATTGGATAGTTCCACCCACCCAATGGGACTCCCGGACGGTATTAGGGATCATGGTAAACATTTCGGCAATTTTATTTCCAGGCGAAAAGAGTCAATAATTACAAAATTGAAGGCTAATACACCCTTTTTGAGAAATTTTGGAGGATTCGAGGTCAGGTGTCTAAAAGTCTTGAAATTCTAGGGGATAAATCTCGGGGTCATATAATGTCGTTTGGAGCCATTTATGATCATTATATGCTGTCATAAATGTTTGTGGTGGGCTTGATTTAATACGATAAATTGGCCGTTAAAAGACAAATTCGATACTTCAACCCACCCAATTGGACCCCTGGAAGATATTAGGGAACATAGTAAACATTTTGGAAATTTTTTTTGGTTCGGGGATGATGGTACAAATTCAACCTAAAAGAGATTGAACCTGCCCTAATAATAGGCCTCTACTTTATTCTGATCGTATTCATGTGCGCTTTTTAATTAACATGCAATCATTAGATTAACCCTAAACCTGTTTATCTATGTTGGTTGAATATTAATGCATAAATAAACTATTATTGGCGATCACTTGAATTATAATCAAATTAACCCTAAACAAGATTATTAATTATCTTATTAAGCGTGATTACAAGTACCAAATTCCCTTTAAACCTGCATAAAAGGCGTGATCAAGCAATAACAAAATAAAATATAATATATATCAAGCAACAATAATAATCATAATAATAATAATAATCATAAATAAAATAATCATCATCAAAATAATAATAATAATAATAATAATAATAATAATCATAAATTATAACAATTATAATCATAATCATGTTCATGTTAATATTAAAGCATAATAAAAATAGCAAGATCCTAGGCATGATACTAACAAGATTAATAGCAAACCCTAGCATGTCACTAAGCAATAAAAATCAAATCTTTAACCCTAACATGATACTAACAATCATAAATATTAGGAAGAGAATAAAAGGCATCATAGCAATCATATTTAATATTAAAATTACCCTAGACATGATACTAGGAATATCATAACAACAATTTAAACATGATTTCTACATCATAACATCAATTAAACCCATTAAAGCACTTACTTTGATGCCTCGTACCTCTTTCTAATAACAAAATACACACGTTAGTAACTTCAAGGAAAATAATAATCAAACAATTAAATTAAATAATTAAAAGAGAGATTTAGGACCAAACCCTCAGAAATTAAAACCTTTCACGTCTAGGGCGAAGACAACTTCGAATATGGCTAGGTGTTTCTAGATCTTGCGAATGCGGAATTTTGTATTTGAGAAAAGCAAAGTTTTTAAAAGAAAGAAAGAGATGAATGATTTAGAGAATTGGTGAATGAATGGAGAGAATTGGTGAATTTTCGTGAATGAAAAAGGAGTTTTTAATCGATATTTATAGAGAAAATCAGCCAAAAAAGATAAATTAACAAAAAAGAGTCTGACACTCAGAAAACAGAGCTGGCGCCAACCCTGGCTAGCTGGCGCCAGGCACCAGCACTAGCCACTACAAGAAAAAGGGGTATTAGCGACGGATAAAGTAGTCGCAAATCCGTCGCAAAAATGGATTTGCGACGGATTAGCAACTACTTTGGTTAGTTGGCAAAGACCTCGTCGCAAATCCATTTTTGCGACTAATTTTTGAATAGTCACAAATTTTGCAACGGATTTGCAACAACTTTGCAACTGTCATTTAGTGACTAACTCTTAAATTTTAGCAACTAAATTATTGTCCGTTGTAAAATATTAGCGACGGATTAGCAACTACGGAAACTAATGTTTTAAAATTCTTTTTGCGACGGATTAGCAACTACAAGACCAAATTTTGCGACTAAGAGACAACTTTTGCGACTACAGAGACTAATTTCTTTGCGATGGATTTGCAACTAGAGGCCAAACTTTTGCGACTATAGAGACTAAATTGTTTCGGGACGAATTAGCGACTAATTTTTGTGACTACCAAAACTAGTTTTTTGCAACAAACTAGCGACTACTGAGTCTAATTATTGCAACATACCAATTAGTCTCCATAAGAAATCTACCGTCGTTAAATTTTTGCGACTGACTATTAATATTTGGAGACCTTAATTTAGTGACGGCCAAATTTCAATTAAAAAAAAAAGTAGCTACACATATATTCAAATAACCAAAATATTAATTTTATTCAAATATCCAAAATATCATCATCAATTTTGTATCAATATATTAGAAAACAATATTAGTAACCATAACACTAATTGTTTCAAAAATCAACTCTAACATGACAAATAAGAACTAATGATGATATACATTATGCAGTAAGGTGAGAAGTAGGATCGTTCTTGTAGTAAATTTGTGAAGCACTCCCTAAACCATAAACTTTTCTATTCTTTTGCCCACCTACAACCTTCAAGTAGACTTTGTCGGGGTTTATCTCAACTCCTTTTTATATTCCTCAAGTTTATCCATATATTGTCCCTGCATTAAGATATGTATTAGTAATTATGGTCTGAATTGTTAAAACTTAAAAGACTAAAACAAATAACAACACTTATAATAAAATAATTATTGTAAACAAATATTAGAATTTGGCATATTCTCCTTTGTAAATCAAACAATTCCCTCCAATAGGGTATCGCTTCAAAACTTGTTTCAATTCACATTATGCCATACCACATTAATCATTTGATTAATGCCCTCATCCTCCAACTCAATCACACAAACAAATAAATAATCTAAAAACATTAACTACCATATATATATTTTTTGTAATCTTAGCAAAATATATAAGTATACTCATACCATGACTTGATGAGTCTTTTCACCCATCTATTCAATTTCATTATTGCCCACATCAACAGAATGAGTGCTCTCATATCTGAATAAGTTGTTAGCACTACAAAAAAACAAAAATAAAAAAAGGGGACATATAAAAAGGAGGAGGGATAGGCTTTGTTAGGTATTATGTGGTAATTAACTAACTGTATTTTTTAATGTTCTAGCTGATTTATTTTACAAAAAGCAGCCCAACTTCCCTCATTTTCTTTACTGTTCTTTCTGATTTATTTTTCTCTTGCTTAAGTTGTGAGAAATCGAGTGAAAGTAGTAGCAGTTCATTACAACATAAAGGATAATTCATAGACCCTATAAGTAATGTATAATAACAGAGCATAATGCCAAACACCTGATTTATTCCAAAATTTTAATCCAAAAACGCTGCTGACAGGGGAGTAGTTGGGATCATTTGTCAACATTGTACATATAAAAAGGGGAGGAGGAGAAATGGGATTAGTAGTGAATTTCTTGTGTAATTCAGTAACCCATGAGATTTGTGACTTAAAAGTCACCCTTGTAATAGTCGTTTTTGCTAGAATGAAACCCATCCCTTTTCCTCAGTTTCTTATTTCTTTAAAGTTTGCATCTTCACTGCGTGTTGTCTTATTTTCTGGTGAGTAATAGTCTAGTTCATTACATGAACAGGTAAATGATGTCTATACCAGCAGATACAACCAGATTGCACAAATATAGTTCAGAGACTATATATATATATAATATAATCTAAGAAAACAAAACACAATCCTACAGGGGCTACAACTATATCAAGCATTCAAAAAATCACAAAAATAACTTTGATTTAGCTCTAAAAAGCACCACACCACAAGAATAGCTTTGAACAAACAAGGTTAAACTTAACTCATCCAAAACAGGTGTAAAGATAAGTGTCAAAAAATGAACAAATTTTCAACAAGATTGACATAGAATTTGACACTAAAGAGTGCCTCTGTTGCATCCAGAATATTTGATTACTCATGCTTGAAAATCTGATTCCGGTGATAGGATTCTGTCATCCAGATAAAACTTGCTAGAAAAACATAAAATATTAACATACAGATTATACAACCAAGAGATTAACATAACAACAGACTAACAACAGATCAAATGAGGTGCATCAATCGAGCACAGGTGGGTTTTATTATAGGTTTTGGCTTAAAGTTTAGAAAAAAAAAATGACAGTTAATGGATGCACTTGTAAATGGTCAGTGATCTAATTGTCTCAGGACATAGGAAATTGAACTCTACTCTAATATGAAATGCTTTTCACAGAGAATTAAAGACTCAACCAGGCCATGCTTTCCATAGAGAATTAGAGACTCAAAGCTAGTATTCAAACATATAGCTTCCCTAGTTTAAGAGAAATGAATACAAGAAAATGTCTCAAATTTTCACTAGTAGGAAAAATCACCATCTTTTAGGTTATCTCCACACATTACATGATTAGTCGGTCACAAAAATCACACTCTAGCTGAGTCCTACAAACAACAATCAACTAACCTTAGCTTCCTAGGAAACTCAATCAAAAACCACTGTAATATATTCAACACTATCATCATATGTTAAAATAATTTCTAACAAATGAACTATTAGTATTACCACTAGTAGGAAAAAAGCAGCCTGGATAAAGCAACAGAAGACATCGAATAAGTCAAACAAACCGAAAAATCCTCATCCAACTGATGTTCTAATGAAATACGAATAAGACTTCAACATTTAAATCCCACAACTACAAGGGAATACCATAAAGACTTCCTATCACCAATATCAAGCAACTATTTCAAATTATATCTAAGAATTCATACCTTCAAGGTGGCATTTGCTTCTTATTCCCTGATTGCAAGGTTATGCTCCTCTGCCTCTATGATGTGTATTCCTCGATTTGATTCCTCATTCCTTCAAACTCTCGTTCCCTCTGTTAGATTCCATTTTTCAGTAGATCAGCCTCATAATATTAATATAAAGACAAAAAAAATATGGAAATGAAAATCATAGAGTTAAAATAATAAATACAGAGTGTTTAATTTGATCGCACAATGGTTGTAGCGGTGGTTGAATACAAACACCAGAGTCATTGGATGTCACCTAATATGCTGTAGCCAAAAGAATTATAAAGATTAAATCCAAAAAAAAAAAGTGGCAAAATAGCAAAGGAACAACAATAAAACATACGAGTAAATAATTTTCTGATGGAGAAAGCATCTTATGTTCAAAACTAACCTCTTCTTCCCAGTCTAATTCTTCACATTCACTATCACTAGGAGTCCAATTCACTTACAATAGTCTGATCACCACCAAACTGGCGCTGCTGCCAATACCTACACGCACCACCACCTGCCAACACGCACCATCACCCGCGCAAGCCCATAACTTCACCTAATCTAAGAAGTTGAAACAAATAATCACATAAACCTAGAGAGTGAAGACTTACAAAGTTACAAGTTCAACAAGTTTAAGGGGCTTATGTGAATTGATTTTTTTCCTGAATTGCATCACATCTTATCCACAATCAACATCATTTTGCTGGAAGGACACTACAAGAACCCCAAAAAAAAAACAAGGGAATCAACAATTTTTATTAGAACTGGATTTATTTAATAAACGTATTTCATTGCATACTTTTATTCTTTGTAAATGCAAGAATTGGGAAAGTAAATGGCATCAAGCTTAACCAGGGATCAAAGATTTGGCAAGTAGTGTACGAATATAAAGAGTGTAATTGAATCCTAAAGAAAGGGTTTTTTTATATAACCAAGTATATAATCCAAATTAGAAATGGTGCGTAAATGTAAAAAGTGTCAACTAAACAAATTAAGATGAAATTATCAAAACTGAAAATATGGCACCACTTGTCCACTTCAATGATAAACTAGAATTATGAAGCTATACTCATTTGGAGGTGATAACACCATAATAAAGAACCAAAGAGCATAAAATAGTTTTTACAAATTACATCTTCGTTGTTTCCCAGCCCAAGTATAATGCAAATTACATCTTCCTTTAGTTGTTTATGAGGAACATACGAATGGTAATAATGAAATGGTAATTATAAATACACATTTTTCAGCAACACTAATAATGGAATGGTAATTACAAATACGCAAAAAGCCCCAAAATTTCACCAATAATTTCAATCTTCCATCACTTCAATTGAATTTCAGTAAAATTCCTATCAATTATAAAACCCGACAAGATATATAACAAAAATCAAGCAAAACCATGTAGAAATATACGATTAATTAAAAACGCAAATTTTGACATTGAAGCTCCAAAGCAATTCAATAAATGGACAAATTTAATCAACAAATTGATCTCAATATAAAAAAATAGAAAAAAACACACTAGAGATTAGAATTGGAATAGATGAACATAAATAAATAAACGAACTTACATATAGAGGAATTTGCGCCGGCGTCGGTGTACAAGGAATCCGGCGATATGTGCGATGGTGACGGTTGCAGAGGCAGATTGATGGAGAAAGTGAATAGATGAGAGAGGAAGATAGAGAATTGGGGGTTTTTTCAGTTGTGAGCAGTGACTCTAGGGTTAGACTCAAGAACTCGGTGCCTGAAAAATGAAGAAGCGTTGATGAGGTGCGCTAATAAGCTGTATTATCCTGTCATTCACTAATAGTAAGTTAGCACCCACTAAAAATTGCTTAAGGGTTAGTTTATTTGGTCAAATTTAATCATATACTTCGTATTAGTTTAAGACATCTCATGTATAGGTTCTTCACTTCTTTTTATTAGGATCTTGCTAACGAACGCTCCATGAGCATTGAATAAGCATTTAAAATATTACTTAAAGTGGACAAGTGGTATTAACTTGGGATTACATGACAAAATCGCGGGTTGATCGGTGTTATTAATGTTCATTTTAAGTTAATCTTTCTACTTTTAGCTAGCTAATCCAACGCTCCCGGGATTTTTGTTAGCTTTTGCCTTCTTATTATCAACATTTTATTACCTATGTTTATTGATAATAACAGATACTCATGTACAATATTCAAGTAGTAAATAATCGATTTACCTTTGCCTTACAAGGCTACAAGCGTTTATCATCAATGCTAAATGGAATGTAGAAAAAGCTCAAATAACAACTAATTTTTGAAAAGGATGAATATCAAACTGGTAACAAGATTTCTGACAGAATAGTTCAGTCTCATTTTTTTGACTGATAATTAAGGTGGTCGCAAATATCAGTCGCAAATTAGCAACTACTTAGCATCTGCTTCAAAATTAGTCGCAATATATGCGACTACCGGTCTTTTTCAGTCGCAAAAATATTTTTTGTGACTGAATATTAAGGTAGTTGCAAATATCAGTCGCAAATTAGCGACCGCATAGCAACTACTGCAAAATTTGCAACTACCCGTCTTTTTCAGTCGCAAAAATATTTTTTGCAACTGAATATAAGAGTAGTTGCAAATATTAGTCGCTAAATTGACTTTTTCTTGTAGTGAGCGCCAGGCCTGGGGTCAGATGCCAAGCTTTATTTTAACGCGTTTTCGAAAATCCGATAAGTTTACCGTAATGGAGGATAAAATAATATAATTTCTTCAAAAATGCTATTTGATTTTTATTAAAACTCTGAAAAGTCAACAAAAGTCAATTTATCAATGCTAATTGAATTAGGAATGAAAAGAACCTTCTAGAAGAATCTAGAAGATTAAAACCATTCCTAATTGCATTAGGAATGATAAATCATACTAGGCCCTCCCCTATATCATTGGGCCGCATATAAAACTCCAACCGGGCCCAGTTTAGTAAATTGGCCATAACTTCCTCAATATTCATCGGAATTGGGCTTATAATATATCATTGAAAAGGTCTTGTCAAGCCCCATCCAACTACACTACTATTGAACCCATATCATGGACCAACCAAACTGGATTGGCTGTTTTCTCAAAATAAGTTTTCAAAAACAGGGAGAAGAGAAAAGAAATAAAAACTCTCCGCAACACTAGACCTTCCACACTTTCGCTTCATTCGATTATGATTCTACGCGAAAGGTACTCATCACTGGGTTTGGTTTTGGGGAGACACAAATGGGTGTCTACATTAATGAAATCGGTGCAAGTTATAAATCGGTAAATAGGCAGTTAAAAGGCAAATTGGATGGTTCCACCCACTCAATTGGACTCCTGAAGGGTATTACGGACCATGGTAAACATTTCTACAATTATTATTTTTGGGCGAAAAAAGTCTTAAAATTCCAAAAATAAAGGCTAATATCCATGATTTTTAAGAAATTTTGGAGGTTTAAGGGCCCGGAATCGAAAAGTCTTGAGATTCTAGGGAATACATCTCAGGGTTATATAATGTCATTTATGACTATATATGATAATTATTTGTTGTCAGAAATATTCGTGGTAGGCTTGAATTAATGAAATTGGTGCAAGTTGTAAACCGGTAAATTGGTCGTTTAAAAGCAAATTGGATGGTTCACCCACTCGATTGAACTACTGTAGGGTATTAAGGACCATGGTAAATATTTCGACAATTTTTATTTTCTGGCGAAAAAAGTCAGAAATTTCAAAAATTGAAGGCTAAGTCCACGATTTTAAAGAATTTTTAAAGGTTTTGAGGCCCGGTGTCGAAAAATCTTGAGATTTTGGGGTATACATATGGGGGTCATAAAACGTCGTTTGGAACCATATTTGATCATTATGTGTTGTCATAGATGTTCGTGATAGGCTTGAATTGAGAAAATCGGTGCAAGTTGTAGACTGGTAAATTGGCGGATTAACAACAAATTTGATGGTTCAACACACCTAAATGGACTCTTGGAAGGTATTAGGGACCATGGAAAACATTTCGTCAATTTTTATTTATGTGCAAAAAAGTCAAAAAATTCCAAAATTGTCAGGGTCATATAATGTTGTTTGGAACCGTAAATGATCATTATCTGATGTCATAAATGTTCGTAGTGTGCTTGAGGTAATGAAATCTGTGCAAGATGAAAACCGGTAAATTGGTCGTTTAAAGACAAATTGGATGGTTCCACCAACCCATTTGGACTCCAGGAGGATATTATGGACGACCATGGTAAACATTTCAGCAATTTTTATTTCCGGGCGAAAAAAAGACAAAAAAATTCCAAAATTGAAGACTAATATCAACGTTTTTTGAGAAATTTCAGAGGTTTTAGGGCCCGATGTCGAAAAGTTTTGAAATTCTAAGGATATATCTCGGGGTCATATAATGCCGTTTGGAATCATATAAGATCATTATATGTTGTCATAAATGTTCGTGCTAGGCTTAAGTTAATGAAATTGGTGCAAGTTGTAAACCGGTAAATTGGTCGTTTAAAGGCAAAATAGATGGTTCCACCAAGCTAATTGGACTCTCGGAGGGTATTAGGGAATGTAGTAAACATTTCGGCTATTTTTATTTCCGGGCGAAAAAAGTCAAAAAATTCCAAAAAAGACTAATATCCACGCTTTTTGAGAAATTTTAGAGGTTTTAGGGCCCGATGTCGAAGTCTTTAAATTATAGGGGATATATCTCGGGGTCATATAATGTCATTTGGAACAATATATGATCATTATTCGTTGTCATAAATGTTCGTCGTAGGCTTGATTTAATGAAATCGGTGCAAGTTATAAACCAGTAAATAGGCTGCTTAATGGCAAATTGGATGGTACTACCCACTCAATTGGAATCCTTAAGGGTATTAGGGAGCATGGTAAACATTTCGACAATTATTATTTTCGGGCGAAAAATGTCTAAAAATTCAAAAATTAAGGCTAATATCCATGCTTTTAGAGAAATTTTCGAGGTTTCGAGGCCCGAAATCGAAAAGCCTTGAGAATCTAGGGAATACATCTCGGGGTTATACAATGTCGTTTGAAATCATGTATGATCATTATTTATTGCCATAAATTTTGTGGTAGGCTTGAGTTAATGAAATAGGTGCAAGTTGTAAACTAGTAAATTGGTCGTTTAAAAGAAAATTGGATGGTTCCACCCACCCAATTGGACTATCGGAGGGTATTAAGGACCACGGTAATCATTTGGGCAATTTTTATTTTTGGGCGAAAAAAATTCAAAATTTTCAAAAATTGAAGGCTAATGTCCACGCTTTTTTGATAAATTTTAAAGGTTTCATGGCCCAGTGTCAAAAATTCTTGAGATTTTGGGTATATATATGGGGGTCATATAATGTCGATTGGAACCATATATGATCATTATATGTTGTCATAGATGTTCGTGGTAGGCTTGAATTAATAAGGAAATCGGTGCAAGTTGTTAACCGGTAAATTGGTCGATTAATAATAAATTAGATGGTTCCACACAACCAATTGGACTCCTGGAATGTATTAGGGACCATGGTAAAAATTTCGACAACTTTTATTTTCGGGCGAAAAAAAGTCAAAAAATTCCAAAATTGAAGGCTATTATTCACGTTTTAAAAAAAAAATTTAGAGGTTTTGGAGCCCGGTGTAGAAAAGTCTTGATATTTTAGGGGATAAATCTCGGGGTCATATAATGTCGTTTGGAACTATAAATGATCATTATATGATGTCATAAATGTTCGTAGTGTTCTTGAGGTAATGAAATCTATGCAAGATGAAAACCGGTAAATTGGTCGTTTAAAGACAAATTGGATGGTTCCACTAAACCATTTGGACTCCCAGAGGATATTAGGGACCATGTTAAACATTTCTGCAATTTTTATTTCCGAACGAAAAAAGTCATAAAATTGCAAAATTGAAGACTAATATCAACGTTTTTTGAGAAATTTTGGAGGTTTTAGGGCACGATGTCGAAAAGTTTTGAAATTCAAAGGGATACATCTCGGGGTCATATAATGCCGTTTGGAACCATATATGATCATTATATGTTGTCATAAATGTTCGTGGTAGGCTTGAGTTAATGAAATCCGTGCAAGTCTTAACCGATAAATTGGTCGATTAAAGGCACATTGGATGGTTCGACCCAACTAATTGGACTCTTGGAGGGTAATAGGGACCATGGTAAACATTTCGGCAATTTTTATTTACGGGCGGAAAAAAGTCAAAAAATTCCAAAATTGAAAACTAATATCCACGCTTTTTGAGAAATTTTGAAGGTTTTGGGGTCCGGTGTCGAAAAGTATTGAAATTCTAGGGGATACATTTAGTGGTCAAATAATGTCGTTTGGAACAATATATGATTATTATTTGTTGTGATAAATGTTCATGGTAGGCTTGAGTAAATGAAATCGGTGCAAGTGGTAAACCAGTAAATTGAATGGTTCTACCCACCCAATGGGACTCCCGGACGGTATTAGGGATAATGATAAACATTTCGGAAATTTTTATTTCCAGGTAAAAAAAGTCAATAATTACAATATTGAAGGCTAATCCACGCTTTTTGAAAATTTTTGGAGAATTCGAGGCCCGGTGTCGAATAGTCTTGAAATTCTAGGGGGTTAATCTCGGGGTCATATATTATCGTTTTGATCCATTTATGATCATTAAATGTTGTCATAAATGTTCGTGGTAGGCTTGATTTATTAAAATCAGTTCAAGTTGTAACAGGTAAAATGACCGTTTAAAGACAAATTGGATACTTCAACCCACCCAATTGGACCCCCGGATAGTATAAGGGAACATGGTAAAAATTTTGGCAATTTTTTTTGTCGGGCGAAAAAAGTCAAAA